CATGGTAATCACACAAAAGCAGCTTCCGATTCGACATGTCTTTCTCCGGTCTCCAATCTCGCGAAAACTCACCTTATCGTGGCTTAAAATGCTTCATGTAGGTGATAATTGCGCTCATTAGGAGTTGATTGTTACAATGTAGACATTAAGACCATTACTTGCAGCTCAAGTCATGAAATAAGGTACCGCTCCAAAGGTCAAATTGGATTATTTCTAAAGTTTAATTATACCCTAATCCTCTTTCTTCCTACAGCATTGAAAGTCTAAGGAATCGCAATTCTCGAGCCTGTGTTTCAAATATTACTGTTTTCAAAGTGAGATCTTTCGGCGCCGTTGGAGACGGTGTTGTTGATGACACACAAGCATTCAAAATGGCGTGGGATAGAGGTGTTTCTGCGAGCAGACGTGGACGAGGTAGAAGAGGGCAAGTTGCAGAAGGTGGAAGATGTCTTTATGTTGAAGGAAACTTGGTGGACGTTCTGGTTCATCAGGACAGAACAGCGGCTACTTCAGATGAGAATATGGTGGATGAGTCGGGATTGTTAAGAACTAGACGAACAGGAATGACAACCCGGGGCGGTGGCGGCTGGCCTGAAGCAGCCGCAAGGTCGCCATGATCTATCTTCTATGGAACTGCTGTGGTCAAGGGTACGACACGGTAGTTCGAGCCTTACACGGGCTTATACGAAAACATCGACCCGCTGTGATTTTTCTATCAGAAACCAGGATGAAAAATCACAGGATTACCTGCGTTAGACGGAGAATGGGGTATTTAAATGGTTTTGATGTTCCCCCAATTGGAGCTGCAGGAGGACTGAGTTTATGGTGGAATGGGTCTCTGGAGGTAAATATATTATTTTCTTGGAAAAATTTAATTCATACAGTGATGAGGATTGATGGTGAATGTGATTGGACGCAAAATACTTGGGTGTATGGCAGCCCATATAGAGAGGAAAAAGCTGATTTCTGGCAGTGGGTTACTGATGTGCTTCAGACTAGTGATCTTCCATGGTTTTGTGGGGGGGATTTAATTGAAATTTTGTGGGATAATGAGAAAAGTGGGGGAAGGGAGATCGAAGTTCTTGCATGATTTTGTGGAGAAAATGGAGTTAATTGACCTGGGATTTTGTGGTCCAAGATTCACTTGGAGGGGAACGCGAAATAAGGTTTTGGTGCAGGAAAGGCTTGACAGAGGTCTGGTCAATGCTCAATGGTTGACTCAATGGCCGAATACTCTAAGTTACTCACGGGACTGTCAGAGCCTCAGACCATTGTCCTTTGATTGTGGACATTGATCCGGGCAAAGTTTGGGGACATCGTATGTTTCGCTTTGAGGCATTTTGGATTAAAGAGGATGGTTGTAGAGAGGTTGTGGAGAGAAGTTGGAATAATCATTTTGATGGGAGATGGTTGAATAAATGGAAGAAGAAGTTAAAATTGTGTAAAGATAATCTGAAGGAGTGGAGTAACGGGAAATTTAAGGATAGAAGAATGAGGATTGAAGAGTTTACTAATCACCTTGGGAATCTGCAAATGAATTGGGAGGAAAATATTAAAGAAATTAATGGTATTTCAGAGCATCTTGAGATTTTGGAAGAGCAAGAAGAGCAATTTTGGCATCAACGATCTTGCATAAAGTGGTTACAAGGTAGGGATGCTAATACTGTGTTTTTCCATCAAACTACTATACATAGAAGGCGGAATAACGAAATTGGAAAGATTAAAAATGGCAGGGGTTCGTGGGTGGAGGATCAGGAGAGCATCAGAGGAACATTTGAAAATCATTTCAAGAATTTATTCTCCTCAAATGGGCATCGTGACTGGGAAATATTTTGGACTGTGTTCAACTTGTGGTTACGGCACAGATGAATGAAGTGTTGACTCGACCTTTGGTGAATGAGGAAATTAAAGATGCTGTGTTTCAGATGGGAAGGTTGAAAGCTCCAGGGCCGGATGGATTCCAAGGTGTGTTTTTTCAATCTTACTGGGATATTATTGAAGCGGAGATTAAAGGTTTGGTAGCAGAGTTTCTAAATGGAGGAACAAGTTTAAAGCCGTTAAATTCCACTAATATTGTCCTAATTCAGAAGATTCCTAATCCAGAATCGGTGAGCCATTTTCAACCAATCAGCCTATGTAATTATTCCTATAAAGTGCTCTCAAAGATTTTAACAAATAGGCTTAAACCCCTGCTTTCTGATATTATCTCTCATTCTCAAAATGCTTTTGTCGAAGGAAGACAGATTCAAGACAATATCATCATTGCCCATGAAGTTTTCCATTTCCTTAAACTTAGGAAGGCGACGTTAAATTATGACCTAGGAATTAAACTTGATATGAATAAGGTGTATGATCAGGTGGAATGAGACTTTCTGGAGGCTGTTATGTTGAAGATGGGTTTTGATAGAAATTGGGTGAATTTGGTGATGAATTGTGTCACCATAGTGGAGTTCTCGGTTTTGATTAATGGGCATCTGGGAGGGAGATTTAAGCCGACGAGGGGTTTACGGCAAGGTGACCCACTTTTGCCCTATTTATTTCTTCTTGTCAATGAGGTGCTATCACTTCTTATTAGATATGCTTCTAATATGGGATTTATTGAAGGAATTCGAATCAGTGTTAACTGACCATGCCTCTCTTATCTTTTATTCGCAGATGACACTCTGATCTTTCTAAAAGTCACAAGGAACAATTGTCAAAATATTGTGAATCTTCTCAATGCCTACTGTCATGCGTCTGGCCATGAGGTTAGTTTGCAAAAATCTGTGGTTTATTTTAGTGTTAATACACCAGTTGAGGTGTGTCAGGATCTCTGCAGCATTTTGAATATGCCACAAGTGGAGGACCCAGGGAAGTATTTGGGGATTTCGACTGATTGGGGAAGTTCCAAAAAAGAGGCATTAGCCTATGTTAAGGATCGTGTTTTTAGAAAGATCAAAGGGTGGAAACAACAATTCCTTTCTCAAGTGGGACAGGAGGTGCTAATTAAAGTTGTTGCTCAGGCGGTTCCTGCGTACCCAATGAATATATTTAAATTCCCGAATACTTTATGCAATGAGATTGATGCTGCTCTTGCAAGATTTTGGTGGGGGCAATGAGAAAAAGAAAGAAGAATTCACTAGATTAGTTGGAAAGATATGGGGTACTCAAAATGTGAAGGGGGAAGAGGTTTCAGGAACTTAAAAGAGTTTAATGTCGCTCTTCTTACCAAGCAATGTTGGAGATTAATTCATGATCCAAATTCTTTGTGGGCCTAGGTTTTAAAGGAGCGATACTTCCCACATGTTTCGTTTTTGGAAGCTAAAAATGGTGGGCAGGCGGGCTTCATGGATTTGGTCCAATTTGCTTGAAGGAAATGAGTTGTTGCTTAAGGGTATGCAATGGCAAGTTATGAGTGGTAATCAAATAAAATTTGGGGTTGATAAATGAGTTCCAAGTGTTGGCTGTGGTCACCCAAAACCTCTCAGTGGAGTAGAAGTGGACAGAGAAATGCACGTAGCTTCTGTTATTCACCCGGTGGATGATATTTGGGATTGGGAGTCTATGCGTAATTTGATATCTGAAGAGGACTGTATGGAAGTCTCTAATATCCAGGTGGATGATTCCTGACCTGTTACAACTTGAGAGCTACCTCTCAGGAGGTAAGGATTGTGAAAGTGTTTGTAGATACCTTTATCGAAGATCCTGCATCGTTTGTAGGGCAACTTGTTGACACCTTCTCAGAAAGTATTTCAAGCAAGAAATCGTGTGTTGTGCCAAACGGGTTCTGCATGAAGCTTTGACATCTTAAGAGTTGGGAACTCAAGGGTATCTCCAAGCAGTAATACTTGTGGATCTCCTCTGCCCTTAGCATTTGTTATTTATGGCGTATCACAATTCTAGTACCATTTTATGATGTAAAATTTGAAAATTCATCAATTCTAGATCAATGTGCATGTGTTTTTTTGGTGATGGTCATATTGTCAAGTGGTGCTACTAACTTATGCGATGTTTGAGTGACATTTTTTTTCCATTATTTTAGGATCTCCTCAGATAAAAGCTTTAGTCAAATTTCCTAACCACGTCCCATATCCGCTTGAAACCAAGTGACATGGTACTCAAATGTACCTGGCTTGTGTAGGTTGATGAATCTCTTATGCTTAAACTAGAATTTTAACCTAAATTAAGATTTTTTGGGAGTTGCTTGTGTACTTTTTTGGGATCTTTATAGTAGTGAAAGTTCATTTCCGTAGTTCGACATCTGACGTTCTTCGGGCAACTGTGCATGTTGTGTGACAAGCATATAGGCATGTTATTTATTATGGACATTGCATTCATATTATTATTACTTTGGTTACATAGTTATTTCATATTTTGTTTTCCGCAAAAATTTACATGGCAAGTAAATGAGGAGGTGGCATCATCTTATTAAATGATTTAATGGACAAGTGATCAACCCCAATTTTTCTTGTCTCTTAGACCACCAAAATAACTTACAAATAAGGACAACATGATGGTCGTATTCTAAACTAATCATACAATGCTATACAAAAAAAAAGAAGTTAAAATATACTTGTGAAATTGTAATAGATTTGAGATGACATTACCACAACGAATGTGTCTTTTGCAAGTCTCTCACACTTTTCAAATACATTAATAGATTTTCTACAAGAAAAATAGAAATATATAAATTTCAAACTCGCCTTTGACAAAAACTAATAGCAACAATTAAAAAAACGGATTTCAATTATGCTGTGCGAAAATTACCTGTGTGAAACCTTTTTTTTAGGAACATGATCGTATCCAAATCCTCCTTGTGATAATCTCACGGATCAGTTCATCAATCATTCTGTGGTCAGAAATCATTTTAAATTTTTTATTTAAAATTGAATACAAACATCACATAGCAAAAACTAACCGCGCAATATACAATGAACGATTAAGATGAATTGAGGACCAGGAAAGGATCCTTATCCAATTTTTTTACACCTGTTCCTTGTCTTGACAGTGTCAGTTTTATATGAAGTTTTATAACAAAAATACAGAAAAACCCATCAGCCACCACGCCTCTGCACCCACCCAACCCAGTGAGCCGCCCACCACCCAGTGGCCGGCAAACCCTCCCTTCTCGATTCCGGCAAAAGCTCATCCTTTGAACCTTCTGCCTCTTCCTCTCACCTTTTCTTATCTACCCAGCGAAAGCAAACCCAACACAAACCCACAACATCTCCATGGCTAAGTTGAGAAAACCGAATTGATTTGTGCCGCCGCCGCCGCCGCCGCCTTCAGAGACGAATATCTCTCGTCAACAGAAGCTCAGATTCCCCAATTCCTTCGGCATCAATCAGGTATGGGTTTTGAAGAAATTTCGTTTTACTCAAAAGTAGACATACACAATAGGACTTTTTTTATATTGATTTTTGTTGAGTGGGTTTTTGAGTAATTTTACTGAGTATTCAGACCCGAAAGAAAAGTCGTAATATTGATGAAAACATTTGATTCCGATCGGGTTACAGATATCTGGTTATTTGTTAGGTTTAATTGCTTACTATTTGTTCAATGGGGTTTACAAGAACTGACTGAAAAGAAGGAACAGATTATGGCTTTCATAGGACTTTGTCATTCACTTGAAACCCCAGTAAGTATATGTTCTAATACTTTTCGTTCAGATTGTTTAAATGCTTCTGGGTTTAGGGGCGAGTATTGTTATTGGCACACAAATAACATAATCATGCGCAACTCCATGTATAAATTCTCCCCTATAAAAAAGTACAAGGAATGGGGAATGACATTTTTGAAGCACCAACAAGATTCTAAAATACACTAGGCGCTAGTTGGCTAGGGCCTATCGCCTAGATGGCTAAGCCGATTTAGGTAAATATATTATATTTCGTATAAATAAGTGTCTGCTTATACTTAAAGTACATATAATTTCATCATAAACTACAAAATAAAATTACATATATATTATGAAGTATTTAAACATAATGAAAACATAGGGAACGATGATATAATGTGTGTTCATTTAAGCATGCATCAAGTCTCTTACAATCTTTTGAAAAAGATAAAATGCAAAATGAAAGTTATCTATTTTCTATCTAAGAGAGTTGCAACCTAGGTAGGTGTCTAGGCTGGTTTGGGCGGGCTAGGCGGGTGCCTAGATGGTCTAGGCGGGCACCTCAATAGGTCTAGGTACCCTTTCTTAATTTTCAAATGCCTAGGCATTAATCGGGGCAGTGGCTAGCCACCTACCGCCTACCCCATGGGCGGGGATTTTTAGAATAGTAAGCACCAATAACAGCTCCATATAGGATTTAACATAGCAAGAAAAATAATGTTAGTGATCGGGGCCAAAAGAATGGGAAGGAAACATAGTGTTGGTGAATGGTGAGGTATGAGTATCAGAAGATGGTATGATGTTTATGATGTTTAGCGTTTAGAGAAAAAATAAGATTAAGAAGGAAAAATAGAGTTGGCAAGGATCAAAAGATTTTATGGTCACTTGTCAGACGTCAGATTAATTTTTGCAATGGAAATATAATATTCAATACTTTTTTGTGGTAAATGGCAGGCCGAAGCCAAACAAAAACAACAAAAACTAACACACTGCATCCCAAACATGAGCTTTTCCCCTCCTGTCATCATCCAAAATACAAGATGGATCAACACTGAGCTTCCTCTTAAACTTTGAACATTAATATTCAATATTTTTAAGTGTTGTATAACAGATGAAACATACTTATTAGTAGTCAGATAATTATTTATAAAAAAGGTCGTACCCAGTGCACAAGGCTCCCGCTTTACGCAGGGTATGGGAGAGGTGAATGTCGGCTAGCTTTACCCCCATTTATTAGTAGTCAGTTAATTATTTATAACAACACATAATACTTTGGCCACAACAAGGGGTCAAAATTCTTTCCAACACCTGGCTTTATTTTTGACACATTAATTACCCCATCCATTCGCTCTCGCGCTCTCTCTTTTTTTTTCCTCTCTTTTGAGCTCAAGATCTATTTATTACTTTGTGGCATACTCAGTATTTGTTTTGTTGACAGTGGCGGATCTTGGATATGATCATGTTCGAGTGTCACACAAATAAGCACTTTCCCACAAAGTCTGATAAATAAAACAGGGGCTTAAAATGGGAGCTGCTGCTTTGTCAGCTTCAAAGTGTGCTCCAGATGGGCAGCAAAGTTGTTTTAAAACCAGTAACTTGTCCTCCATATCTTCTCCTACTACAAAGATGTTCAAGCTTGGACGAATTTAAGAAAATTCATGCCCATGCAGTCACTACTGGTCTTGCTCGTTTTGCCTACACTGCCAGCAAGCTCATAGCCTTCTCTGCATTATCAGAACATGGTAATATGCACTACGCTGAGACACTGTTACACCAAATTCCAAGACCCAATGTATTTGATTACAATTCCATGATAATGGGTTTCTTGAAAAGCTCAGAATCTGAAAAGGGTCTCTCCATTTACCCCAGAATGAGAAGGATAGGCACAGAGCCAAACGCTCGTACTTTCACCTTTTTAGTTAAAGCATGTTTTGATGTATCTTTGCTTGGTCAGGTACATGGTCAAATAATGAAGTTTGGGCATGGGTGTGATGTTTATGTTATTAGCTCACTTATTAGGGCCTCCTGTCGATGTGAAGCTGTGGAATTTGCTCGTAGAGTGTTTGAGGAAAGTTTGGATAAGAATGTGGTTTGTTGGACTAGTCTTATTAGTGGATATTGTAGTAATGGGCTGGTTCATGAAGCTCGTGATCTGTTTGATGCAATGCCAGATATAAATGATGTTTCTTATAGTGCAATGGTTTCTGGGTATGTTGGGAATGCTTGTTTCAATGAAGCAATTGACCTGTTTCGTCAATTGAAAAGCCATACACAAGTGAGGCTCAAAGAGTCTCTTTTGGTTAGCACTCTTAATGCTTGTGCGTCTGTGGGTGCCTTTGAAGAAGGGAAGTGGATTCATTCGTTTTTGGAAGAAAATGGTTTTGAGTATGGACTTGAGCTTGGTACTGCACTAGTAGATTTTTATGCAAAATGTGGATGTATTAAAGACGCACAAGACGTGTTTAGCAGGATGCCTCGTAAAGATGTAACTACTTGGAGTGCTATGATCATGGGATTTGCCATCAATGGTGAGAATGATATGGGGCTTGAGCTTTTTGCAGAAATGGAAAAGAAAGGACCTAAACCAAATGCAGTGACATTTGTTGGAGTACTCACTGCATGTAATCACAAAATTCTGGTAAATGAAGCATGGCGGTTAATAGGACGCATGAGTAAGGTTTATGGCATTGCTCTGGGGATTGAGCACTATGGCTGCATGGTTGATCTCTTGGCCTGTGCTGGGAAACTGAATGAAGCTGAGATATTGATAAGAAGTATGGCAATGAAACCGGACGGTGCTATTTGGGGGTCTTTGTTTAATGGATGTCTGATACATGACCATGTTGACTTAGGGGCGAGGGTGGGGAAGCTTTTGATTGAATTAGAGCCTCAACATAGTGGTAGGTATGTTCTTCTGGCCAACATGTATGCCAAAATGGGCAACTGGGAGGATGTGACGAGGCTAAGGAAAATGATGAGAGATAGAGAAGTAGTTACAATTTCTGCTTGGAGCTTCATTGAGACTGATGGTATTGTCCATAAATTTATAGCAGACGATAAGTCTCATTCCCATTCGAGAAAGATAAACAGAACCTTAAACCAACTCAGCAGGGCACTTGAAAGTTTTTCCATTGCCGGTGACGCATCGTTACTTTAAAGAAATCATTATCTTGGAAATGGAAGGACCAATCCGCAGGCAAGTCAATCCTGTCTTTTCGAAGACGCATCTAGCTACAATCTTTACGTTGAATACTACAGCCTAGCTGAGTTGAGTTCTGGCAAACATAACTCAAGCATGCGAGTGATATGCTGTTGTATTTAGCTCAGACGCCTGCCTCCTTTGGTGTGTCTGTAAGTTTTTCGCCTTGGAACAATTCAAAGTTACTTAGCGAGGAAATTTAATTTAAAACATCGTCTGTAATAGTAGAAATATCAAAGTGCTGATATTTCTCGTATTCTCTATTGAATCACCATGCCTTGGCTGTTTTGTAGAATTCAACTTGCGTTCGCAGCAAAGAAAGGTTGTTGAAATTCCTGTGTTCCCAATCAGCTATTTTAAAGTTTTCTCCACATCCATGAGAAGGCAGTTGCAGAAATGAGTCGTACATCTTCCTAATATTTAATTCCCACGGTTACTCTGATGTCTGCAAAACTGGCTATGAGGTACCGTTTGGTATATGGGACGGGACGGAATGGAGTGGGACGAGGCGTTCCGTCCCACGTTTGGTGCGCCTAAAACAGATGGAATGCGCTGTTCCACGGGACGAATTTTTGGTGGATTTTCGTTTCACCTCACCCTCTTGAACGACTCGTTCCACATCCGTGCAACACAAAATTATAACCTCTCTGTCTCCTTCTTCTTCCTCCTTGTTTCCATCCGAGTGCATCTTTACTTCCTCTTCGTTCCGGATCATCCTGTCTCGTCCCGTCCCGTTCCGTCTGCATACCAAACGATACCTGAGAGACTCCAAGGGGCACCTTGAATTTGGTGGGGCCCAAGACTTTGTCACCATGCCAAGTGGATTTTGTTTGGTCGTGAGATGATGGAAAAAGCAGGATGCTGATGTGGCTTATAAAACTCTACAGCATCTTGTACCCACCGTTTTTTCAATACCACTCTCACTCTCTCTCTCTCTCTCAACAAACCCTGCTTCTTTTTGTTCTTTTCCCCGACCAATTCCACTACCATTACAAATAGTCCTTCACCTTGTGGCTGTGTTGGTTTACTATACTTTTGATCAGTCATCCTGTTGGACATCAAGTTCGAAGATGTCTGCTTTGATCTTTAATGCTCCGGTTGGTGCATCCGGTTATGCTGGCTTGAAAGTCAACCCTTGGAAACTTTTTCCGGTGAATGATTCTATTGGATGGGCCAAGAAAACCGTCTCCAATGGATCAAGAACTCTCTGCATGAAGGTAAGGGAATCTAACAAGTTATATCCCAACTCCCAAGTACCCAAGACTCTCATCCTCGGTTTGTTTCTTAATTTGTGCAATTTGCGGAATTTTACAGGTATGGAATCCAATCAACAACAAGAAGTTCGAGACCCTCTCGTACCTACCACCACTCTCTGACGATTCTATTGCGAAGGAGATTGACTACATGCTCAAGAAGGGATGGATCCCTTGCCTCGAATTCGATGAGGTTAGTTGATTTACAAAGTTTAGATGCTCTTCCTTGTTCTTAACAAACAAATAAATCAGATTTTAACTTCTCTTCTGTGCATTAAACTATGTACTATAGCTTGCATCTCTACCTCCATGGCGTATGATTTTAGTACAACTTGTTATTTGACAAAATTAAGTATTTGATTAGTTTTATCGGGTTGGTGTGCAATATGAATGACACTAACACCAGATTGGACTATTTAATCCAATCCAGCATCATATCCGACGTACTAAATATGCGCTCTATTTCGACTAATATGATCAGTCATATTTGAACTATACGTTTGACTAGCAAGGGTAACTTCTCGATGATAATCCTGGGTAGATCGCTAATTAAGCAATAAACTTTTGGGGTTTATCTCATAACATTAACATTTAATTTTTGCAAATGTGGAAGGTTGGGTATGTTTACAGGGAGAATAGCCAGATGCCAGGGTATTATGATGGGAGATACTGGACATTGTGGAAGCTGCCCATGTTTGGTTGTACTGATCCGTCGCTCGTTCTCAATGAAATCCAGCAGTGCAAAACAGAATACCCTAATGCTTATATTCGCTGCGTGGCATTCGACAACGTCAACCAGGGTCAGTGCATGGCCTTTATCATTCAGAAGCCAACAGCTACCGCAGCCGCCACCGCCGCCGCCGCCAATGCTTAATAGCAAGTTTCGTCTATAGAAGTTTAGAGAAAATCGACTTCTCATCTTCATATCGTTGGTGTTTTCCTCTGTAATTTCTGTGTTATGTATGCATAAGGAAGGTTATGGTTTATGCTGCTCCCTGTTTTGGGAAGATAACTAGTAACTGAGTTAAAATAAACAGCTTTTCTTTTCTGGTTTGTATGTAATCCAAATCAGCAGCCCATGGTTTTGAATGAGGATCCTCTCCGATCCTCTTTGTGAGGATCCTATGAATCCTCAAATCATATTCGTTTTGTGCGGTTAGAAATCAATTTTAAATATTTTTATTTAAAATTAAATATGAATAGTACTTGAAGATAATTGATCGTACGATATACGATAAATATACATGATTTGAGGTTTTCCAAGATATTTTATTTAAAATTAAATATGAATAGTACTTAAAGATAATTGACCGTACGATATATGATGAAAATATATAATGAATATATATGATTTGAGAATTTTCAAGATGGATTTGGAGAGATCCTCATTTCCTGGTTTTTAGCTTTCCTTAGTTTTGGTGGGACCAAGGGATTGGAATTCCCACTAATTTGGTTACATCTGCATTTTTTTATCTGAATGAACAACTGTCATTCATGAGATAATTTATAACATAAAAAAAAAAATTCTAAGAAAATATTCAAAAGGGATATCAAATTCGAAGTGGAGATATGATAGTGCATATTTGATATAAAAAATCCTTCTAGCCAAAGTATTATCTGCTGACTGGATTTGAAGTCTTTGTGTTTAGGAGTCAAATTTAACATCAATGTCAAATTTATTTTTTAATTAGTTTAATGGTGGGTTTCTTATTTCAATAACATTTCAACCAATAAAATTTTGGAAAATTACACAAAGTATACTTTTAATACTTAATTGTATATGGAGACAACACTTTTTAAACATTTAAATGAGAAACAAAAATTAATACATGTAAAATATGATATTGTTGACTATTTTTTTAAGTTACAAAAATACTCTTTTTTTTTTTTTTGTGGAGTTATAACATCTCAATCATTCAGATTCTAACCTACATTTTCTACCTAAACCCAAAAGCCAATACCTCACAAAACAACATAAATATTCATCAAACACCATGCTCACGCAGCCATACTCATTTCCATCTGTACATAAGCATTCCTCATAGGTGATTGGGTTTATGAGATTTGGGGATTTTTGATTAACTAATGGGTATATAAAAAGGAATGGTCCTTTTGATTATTCTTTTTATAATTTTTTATATGAACAATGTTCAAATAATGTATTCCTGACTGTGCCTTGGCATATAGTAATCAACATTTCAAAGTGTTGCTAAACATTGAAAAACACGACATGTGATTTTCAAAAGCATATATAAAGTCATCAATAAGTCAGAACTTAGCTATTATGTGAATACCAAGTTAAATTATTCCAGAATTGTGACTGTGTTCAAGAGAGCAATACTCAAACAAAATCAAAAGTAGAGGAAATAATGAAATACAAAGGTATAAGAAGATAAATATGAGGCTGGCCATGCTGGAGTATCCCTTTGTTTGGCTTGCTGCTGCATCAACTCTTCTTTCACCCTCTTTATCCCCATTTCTCTTTCGAGTCTTTCTTGCTTTTCGTCCTGATATAACATTAATCATTTGTGCCTTGATGAGCTAATCTGGGCAATTCCGAGTATGACAAAATGAATAATTTTGTTTAATCATTGACTTAAATTGGGGTTTTTGAGATTTGGGAGTTTTGATCGATTTGTGAGTGCCGCTTTGGTGGCCAGCTCTTTATTACTCATTTCTTTCTCTTTTCTTGGCCCATGTAGCTGATTGGCATATCGCAATTTTGAATGTTGTTAGTTGTTGGTTGTTAATTGTGATTTTTCATTTATTTATTTTTTATGAAATAGTTTCACTATTGAAATATGGCTTCAAAGTTCAGCCCACCTCAGTTTTGGATCGTGGGTTTATGCTTGGGCAGAGTAGACTTGTAGTTACTTAGAATGAAATGGTCATACAATCTCTGAGCATCCGGCCTATGACTGCACAATTAGTTTGTGAGGATAGTTGAAGTAATCAACTAAATTGAATGTAAGTATGTATTTTCAAATTGGTTGTACTAAAAAGCATAATACCAAAATTGCTTCTGCATATGTTTGAACTGATTATGCAAAAAATGGTCGATGACAGGTTGAACTGATTATGCAAAATGGTTGTGGACTGATTGAACTGATTATAGAAGTAAAGGATACAAATTGATTCTAAATATGGTTTCAAAACTGATTCTGCAGAAGTAGTCGAGGATGAGTTGAGTTTATGACACATAATAATTTTGTTGGAGTTGTGAGGGTTAAGTTTTATTAACAGCCCTACAGCCTTAGGGGTATGGCTGGTACTTTAAAACATTGTTTCCATGTTTTGGTGCTGGGCTTTAGTTGTTTTTATATTTTTGTCTCTCATTGACATGTTTAAAAACTAGTGGAGTTCCTTGAAATATAGTGAAAGTTTTTGTCTCTCTATATAAAGCTCCCTAAAATTTTGTTTCAACAATTTTTTTAATAAATACAACAATTTAAAGCTCCACATAAAAAAAAAACTAATAATATTTGACAACTCGGTTAGAGAAACATAAAATTTGACATAAGACTTCAGATTATCACATCAACCATCAATTGTAATTTGACTCTAATAATTTGATATTTCCATTGGCCATGGTCTAATAATAAATGATAGATAGCTTTGGTAGAGACGTTTTTATCTTCATCCCACTATGTCTCGAGTAAAAAAGCTTCATGCTCCCTTTATTGTAGATTAGAAATGTGGGAAAAAAAACGGACAAAATGAAATCAGGATGCCCCTATAACATATTTATCTACTGTGATAGATTGCTTTGGTAGAGACGTTTTTCTCTTCATCCCACTGTAGACGTGTAAATTTCGTTGCATACAAATGAGGCATCACAAAGCTCCACGTGGTATATGACTCATCACAAATGGACAAGTCATCAATGACATGTGGCACAAATCAAGCAAATGAAGTGTAAAACATTCCCAAAATTCGGGAAAATGGAGAAAATCCCCCTTAAAATTGGCAAGGGGCCCAAAATCTCTCAATATTGGAAAGAAAGTCAAATCATCTTCACAAAATAAACAAGAATTGAAGATTGCTCACAAGTAGGTAACAAGGCCTATAAATTTCGGCCAATATGAGGAAGGTGGCTGAAATCATGACACAAAACATGCCTAAATTCTCTCATGGACAAATCAAGACACAAATCAAGGCCAAATCCATCTAAAGGCATAGCTTTGGAAGTCTAAAAATACAAGGATCCAAGACACACATTGAGGGTCGAAAAATTACACATTGAGAATAACCTCTGCACAAATCTTTGAAAATTAATACGCTGCTAAAACTCTCTTCGAAGAACGTACAACCAAAGCCGAAGCTTTCTGTCGACCAATGACACACCCCGACCCGAGATGTCCACTAAGACTCCGAATTGAGTTGTGCTGGCCAACACCTGGAAGGTGACGAAGCCATAAAGTGTAGTGATGTGGAAAATGTGAATAAATTTAAACCTAAAAGTACCTAAATACAATAGTGTGTTGTGAGTGGGAATGAACTCAATTCACA